TTTATTACTTTTTCATTTGTTTTTAATGCTTTTAATTTATTAGTTTCTTGTTTTTTAGTTTATAATTATTTTTAATAATTTTGCCTTTAATTTATTAATAATAATTTATTAATAATAATTGCCTTTAATTTATTAGTTTCTTTAGTTTTTTTAGTTTATAATTTTTTTTTAATAATTGCCTTTAATTTATTAATTTCTTGTTTTTTAGGTTATAATTTTGTTTAATAATTGCCTTTAATTTATTAATTTTCTAGTTTATAGTTTATTACTTTTTCATTTGTTTTTAATGCTTTTAATTTATTAGTTTCTTGTTTTTTAGTTTATAATTATTTTTAATAATTTTGCCTTTAATTTATTAATAATAATTTATTAATAATAATTGCCTTTAATTTATTAATTTTTTAATTTATAATTTTTATTATTTTTTCGTTTGTTTTTAATAATTGTTTTTAATTTATTAATTTCTTATTTTTTAATTTATAATTTTTTTTAGTAATTGCCTTTAATTTATTAATTTTTTAATTTATAATTTTTATTACTTTTTCGTTTGTTTGTAACAATTGCCTTTAATTTATTAGTTTCTTGTTTTTTTAGTTAATAATTTTTTTAGTAATTGCCTTTAATTTATTAGATTTTTAGTTTATAATTTATTTTTCGTTTGTTTTTATTAAATACAAATTGCCTCGAACGAAGGGGGGAAAAAGTTTGCGTGGCGTGAGAGTAAAAGCGAGACGAAACCTGCCAAACCCAACCTACTTTCGAGCCAACCTTGTTAAAGTGAAGGCGAAGATTGGCGAGGAGCAAGGGGGCAAAGATGATTCGAAAAGTTTGCGCTCCTCTTATTCTTTCTCTCGATATTTCTAATACTTCATACTTTTTCATATCGCTGCGCGGATCGCAATCTTAGACTGTTAACTTCGACCTTCTTCGCTCGGCCAAACTCAACAACTCGAGACGATCTCCCTACACATTTCCTGATGAATTGCTTAAAATAAAATTTCACCTGATTCATTTAATATTTTTTTACATATCTTTACACAAAAGAAAGAAAATCTGTCGAATATTGAACTCTATATCGTTGTTTTCTCGTGATATTTTAATAATAAAACGCGTTTTCGTCCTCGGTTTGTCAAGTCTCTTCATTGAGAGTAAACCTTACAATTCCAATAACGTGCTCTCCTACATTCTATTATTCTTATTTCTCACCTTCTCTCACTCTCATCTCCATTTCCATCGCTATTTTCCTTCTCTCTTATCGTCAATCTCTTAACGAACACTAAGTAATTTCGTTATTCAATAAAATCGAAAAACAAATCATCTTTGTTCGAACTAATTTCATTATCGTATTCCATGCTGACAAAAAACTCGAAAACTTCGAAAATAATATTTCTATTTCCACCAACAATGCCAAACATGTAGACCGATCGCGGTCTAATTGGAGATAAAAAAAAAAATCTAAATAAAAAAAAAAATTCGACGATACATTATTTTTGTAAGATTACGCGCGTAAAAAAATCGAACGTTAAAAATAAGTAAATATTGTCGCCGAGATTCGAATTGCCGCCGCGATCCAAGTGGTGGCGAGGGAGAGCCATTTCTCGAGTTATCGCGTCGGACCGAGTGGTGGTTGAGAGCCACTATCGGTGCGCAAAGGGTCGCAAAGGGTGGGCGATGATAGGCGTCGGCCGGCGCGAAACGTGTCGTCTGCCGATTAACGACCCGTTATCGGGGCCTCGTGTCGGCGGTCACGTGTCGCATCGACGGTCACGAAGCCGACAACCGGTGTAAGCGTCGCTTCCGGTTGAACGAACCACGGCTTCCTGGCCGCGACACGGCTACCGCCAATCAGGCCGCCCCCACTCCTCGCCCCACTTCCGTCGCTCGACGATAAGTAAAGCGGTGAAAGAAACGCAAAGGGAATCGATATCGAGCACCGATTACACGAAGGAGATCGAGCCGTGTCTCATTCGTGCTTGTGTTCCATGTTGATGCTTCCATTTTCGATATTTTTTTCGCCTTTTCTTTTTTTCGGAAAAAATTATAGAGAGATTTATATAGAGATTCGAGAATTTTCGAGTCGAGATGCGAATACAGCCACAGAAGATCGAATATAGAGGGTATTTTTCAAAATCGGGTATCGGGTTATTGACAATTGTGCGAGATTCGTTTGCAAAATTCGCTATTAATATAACCGTTGGTTACAATTGTTGCACGTGCCGATCTGTGGAAACCGATTCCATAATTGGGGGGCAAAGGGTCTATTCAGAAGATTTTTCGGGGAACGAGAATGAAAATAAACGCGCGAAACGTTTTCGTCCCCTCCCCCCTCCCTTTCCGATCGAATCTCATCTCTCGGCTCGAAATTCTTTTCAGGTCGGCAATTGAATTTGCTCCGCGATGCATTGTTCTCGTCTCGGTTTATTTTCGCATGATCGCATGCACGTGGAATTCAACGACTAGTCCATGGTAATCCTATATGAATCACGTTGAAGGTGATCTAATATTAGATGCGACGGAAGAGGATCGTGCGTAGAATCGTAGAC